AGACCCTTCAACACAAATACCTTTAAGACGAAATGGAACTGATGACGGTAAAGAACATTTTAAAATTTGAGAGCAGTTTTAATCACAAAAGCAAAGGAATCCAACCTAATGATAAGGTAAGAAGTTCAGGATACTGCAATTTCATAACTAATATGGATAAGGGAGCATCTAGGAAATTGTAGTTCATAGTCAAGTACTAGAAAATGAAAATATAATATAATGTCATATTCTGTAAGTATTTTAGGTGTCTCAGTGAGGCACCAGAAGGTATAGACTAACAATGTTTGAAATATACTGAACAGTTATTCACAGAAAAGAAACCAAAACAAAAGAAGTTTAAAAAAAAAAAAAAATTGGCTGTGTCAGACTCAACAGATACTTCATGGGTTTTGAAGCCAGCATGAAAATAGAACAACTGTCAAAATAAAAAATCTGAAAGTTGATGCTCAGAGTATCTGATAACTAGTCAGCTTCTCTTGAACAAATTCCAGAGTAAAATCTCCCTGAAGTGAGAATGTTCTGTGGGCAGCAGATTCAGATCATGTGAATGTATTGAGTCACTGCAATCCTGTTTTGAGAACTGTTTTATGATATAATAAAACCTTAGAAAGAAAATGTAATGAAGCCCCTCTAATTAATTTGCATTTAAAGTAAGATACTGTTCCATGCTAAAGACCAATTTCATATTGATTTCATATTTACTACTGAGGGACAAAGGCTGTAGAGGGAGAGAGGAAGAAGGAAATATTTTCAAAAGCACTATTCCTGCTCAGATTTGTGCCTGAAACCAATAAGAAAACTCATGCATGGAAGGGTAAACAACTACATAATTCTTTTCAGGTCAAAGACTGTACTATCAAAACTAACAGCTTTGATGACAAGCGTCCCAGAGAGGCCAAGAGCTGAATGAAGCATGACCTGCCCTCATAACCTTGGACTCAGTGGACATCAACATTTTATCCATGGACTTGACTGCATCCACGGCTTATTCCTCTGGGGTCAGACAAAAGCATATAGGAAAAACTGCTTCATGAAGGCTGTGCAATTTCTGCATAGGTAAAATTTTCAGAATGGTTCTCTCATACACCATAAAAGTTTGAAAAAGCTTCGAGAAAGTATCTCTCCTTTTCAGCTCAGGGCTACAGCACAGCTGTACATTGTTCAAAGGAGCTTATGTAGTTAGTTCCCCTCTGAATTGCTGAATGTAATATATTGCAATGATCAGTAGACAAAGTCTTACAGATTTTTTTTTTTCAAACAACATTTCAGCACTACCACATGTCTTTATTATAAAATATTTTATTTAAAAGCTACAATTTTGCCTTAGCGTGGCATAAGCTCAAACAGGATCAGTTGCTTACTGTATTTTTAAAGATGAATATGTTTTAATTAGATATTTATCTATTATACAGATTGTAAAATTCAGTAAGAACTGATGTTTATCTGGGGTAAAGCAACAAAGCTTATCTGAAGTCAAAATGTCTGTTGTACATCATATCAGCTGGTCCTAAAATTTCTGAAACTCTAATGATATTAAAAGATATATAGCTTATCTTTATTAATCTAATTACTTTAATGTTAAAAAACACTGAAATTAAAACAGTATCTAATCAAGCACTCACTGCTCTATTTTTTACATCAAACATCTATGGGATAAAATACACATAATACTTAAATATTTCTTATAGCAATGGCTAAAAATCAAGGAATGGACACAGGTCTCAACCTTAATCACTCATGCACATTCACTTTTCCAGTGAATCTCTGAACACAAAACAGAGAAAAGTCAGAAAGGAGCGGACGCAGATGCAGTACAAATGAGTGCAAAGGAATGGAGGGTGGAGGGAAGCTTGCCAACAGATATGCACATCAGGGTAATGAGTTATTGTATTTTCCCCCATAGTTTTTACAGACTTGTTCCCCCACATTGTTTCTGAGAGAATGGAAAGTCTTTATTCTTTAGGTTAATGCATGTGATTAAAACTTAAGGAGTACAGACAAACCCATTTCTTAAGACATTAAAAATTACAAGTGTACTTAAACACAACAATAATTTCACTGAAGCCATCAGAAAATAAAAATATTTAAAAAAAAAAATAAAATAATAAGCTTATTGGTTTTCTTTTTTAGCAGTGTTTCTCCTAACACAAAATTTTACTTGCAGATCAGTTTTATTCTTGTAGTCCTGTTGATAGATTTGAGGCAAGCGACATACATCATTAATTGTATTGTGCAGGGGATCGCATTTCAAACAAGAGCTTTGTCTGACTGAGCTACTACAGCCTGTCTGATTGTTGTGGAATTGCCATTAAATGGAAATGATGCCCAGGAATGTTGAACTTAATGTTATGTTTCCAAATACCATGAATAACATTACAGTAGCTTTAATGAATTTCATAGGAGAAAAATGTCAAACAAAGCAACAACATTAGCCCTGGTGACCTGGCCAATTTCCAATCTGGCTAATTGCATTCTGACACCTACTATTTCTCAGCTGTTTGAATTTGGTATTTTTCTGTACTTCACTGCTTGTTCATTGATATGTTAATGCCATTGTCTGCTCATTGCTGTCTGCCACTCCAGAGTGAGCTGGCTACCACTCTTGAACATCCGAGTGCTTTTAATGAAGATATAACTTGACCTTGAAAAGATTCCCTTCAATCTATCTTCCCACAGCTCATCAAGTTACTTAGATATTGCTTAACCTAACAAGTAAGCATAGATATAACTTATTTCAGTGTTTGATAAACATAAAGTACAACCTCACATCCCGGTTCTGAAATAATAAGTTGCTGAAGTCCATTAACATGCACTTAAAGCTGGACACAGAGATGACCTCCGACACAGTGGTGTTTTAATTAAGGTCAGAGAGGCAGTGAGCATTATCTCTTAATCATTACCACTTAACCATATGCTTTGCTTTGAATTGTGGAGTGGTCTCTGAGAACATGACCTGAACTATGGATGAAACTTAAGTGAAGATATGCTCCAAGAGCACAATTTATACACCTCAGCACCAACTAATCATAGAGACAATGGGCTTGGAGTGAGTAGAGCTAGTCCAAAATTAAAATTATATTCCCAAAATGTGGACTTCAGAATAAACTGTTTTGTTCTACAGCTCTGTTCCTGTTGGTTCATACTACTTGCTTGAGTAGACATAGTCATATTCAAGTGCTTTATTCAAAGGACCTGTTCTTCATTGCAATATCTTACTCATCTATGATATAAGGATGTCCCACAGCTCAAAATCTGGATTGCTGAATATTCAAGAAAACCCTTCCAACATTGCCGAACTTGTTGACAGTAGTGGAGAGCTTATGGAGGGAGGAAAATTTTCTGAAGACCTAAATCCTGGCTCACTGAAAGCTTCTAAGAAACATAGGACCATGATTTGAAATTGCCTTCTTACAAATTCAAGCAGAATCTTCAGTTCACAACCTAGCGTAGGAGTTTTCTGTGTGTCTGTCACATCCCAAAGACATGATTTCTAATACAATTCCCAAGAGCCTCCCCACACCATTTAATCTTGAGTGCTGTTTGTGATACCCCGTTCAGACATTCATGCACACTAATATTCCTGTTTGGGAGACCAAAGACCATCAAGAAGTATGTAAAACATCTAATTAAAGCATATATTTTTGTATGCATTGACAGTGATTAAAATATGAAAGCCCAGCATAACACCATCAAAAAGAGGTAGTGCTAAATGTCACTGGAAGAAAGTCTTCGTATTACTTATGACTAGACTATTCTTGGCAACCTTATCTATAGGTAACTGTAAGTAATCGATCTTATCCTGTTTCTGTTGGGATCAGGTGCAATGTCCTGTTTCTCTCAGCAGAACTAGATCCACACCCCTCCTCATCTGGTATATAAGTAACCCAGAAACTACATGGATTGCACTGCGTGTTGCACATGGCTGCATGTTAAACTGCAGCTGGATTGTCACCGTTAAGGTTTTTTCACAGTCTGATATAGGGAGAAAGTCAATGATCTGGAAAGGGATGTGAAATTTTAAGTACATCATCGGATCTTCAGGACTAATTTCAGGTTTAACACTGCCTTGGATTTTCTTCAGGTAGAAGAAAGACAAAGAAATAGGTAGAAGGGTGACAATAAGTGGAAAACAATAGGCAGGATGATGTGAGCACAGATGCTAATGAATGGAAACCCACCATTTTATTTAACTGTTAAATACATCTGCACTGAAGTCAGTCATATGGAAACAATCACAGTGTGGATAAAGAGCCTCTTAAGATTTCTGTATAGGAAAATATTTTTTGTCTTATTTTTGAAGTTTCTGCTAAAGATTAAATGTATTTACCATTCAGTCCCAGGTCACAACCAAGACATTTTTAAGATGATCTCTCTGACTTGCACACACACACACACACACACATCCATACAGACAACAAGGAGGAAGCAGAAAGGAAGCAAACCACTGAGCTAAGATTCCTAAAGACTTTGAGAGCCACAGCCAATGCCCTCATAGTCAGACAAATCTATTGCTCTATGGGTGGTGGCGGCTTAAATCTTGTATACAAACCAAAGTGAGTTCGTCTTGAATGTTCCCATCCCGTCTGAACACTCTAACAGCTGCTGGCTTTTCAGGCAAAGATATTCTCATATTTTTTTTTTTTTTTTTTTTTCAGTCTGAGTTTGAGAAAATTTTAATTAAATCTTGTATGTTTATGAAAAAAAAAAAAATCTAGATTTAATGGTCTGTAAAATCCAAAGAAAACAGTTTTTTTGCTGTAAAGATCCTGACAATCTTTTTTGACGTTGAACATACATATAACTTCCAACAAAAATAATGGAATTCCTTTTCAATAACATATGAATGAAAAGTACTGTCAAGTCCTTTATTACCAATCCTGGAGTGTTGCCCTTTGATTAAAACTTATCTTGTGCTAATAATTCTCAGTAGTACTCTACAACATACAGAAATCCCTGAGGTAGTCAAGGAAAACCAAGACAAAGCCAACAAAGTTGCTTACCTGTCTGAACTCTTCCAGATCTATTTTGTTTCCTACCAGCACCAAGGGGATGTCATAGGTATGCCGGACACGATAAATGAGTTCCTTAAACTCAGCAGCTTCTTGAAAAGATTGACGATCCGTGATGGAATAGCAGATAATGAAACCTTCTCCACCTCGCATGTATTGGTCCCTCATGGCTGTGAATTCTGCCTGTGGAATGGGAAAAACACACTCAGTAATTTGGCAACCAAAATTATCCATCTGAAAATAACAAAATTCCTGAAAACTTCCCCCATTCCCTACATATTTTTCCATTGCTTGTTTTACTGTTTTGATTACTGCTTGCTGAAACCTGTGCACCCTTCTGGGGTTGTCATCATGAATAATACACCACCACGATGTCTTTAAGGACCTTTTTTTTTTTTTTTTCTTTTTTTTTTCTTTGCCCATGAAGGGAACTCTGTCCTCTAAGCCTATGAACTTATTATACTAGTGCCTGTATACAGAAAATACTGTCTCTTGTATTTCTAGACCATCTGCAGCGTTTTCAGTGTGCATAGATGACTTGCAATTAGATGAATATTAACAGGTGTAAAAGAAGAGCTATATTACTATCTAGGGATTGGAGACAGGTAGAAACTCCTTATTATGCACTCAGTTCAAAAGCTCAGTAATATCAAAAAGACATTCACTGACTCCCACCAGCTTTGGAATAGTGCCTAGTAAAGCAGGAATATCTGCAAAAAGTTCTGCTCTTTCAGATGTTCTCAGAGAAGCTGGGGGTTTCAGTTTAGTGTAGGATAATACCATTAAATGAAAATGAACAATTTCAAATAGCATGAGAATTGGCCCAATTTTTCTCCTCCTTCATTTTTTCCTATTTATGTATGTATTTAGTGTGACATCAACTCTTCTGGTTATCGGTACGGGTTTTCAGAAGTATTTAACAACTGCCACATTGTACAAAAATAAAGATTTAGTTTTGAAAAACTAGACTCAGGCACCGTGGCTTGAGAATATGTTTTCAAGCCAGTTTCTTTTTCAAGTTTGTTTGCTCTTCTTGATCACAGCCCAGAATAATCCAATACCATGGCAACAGCCAGTCAGGATCAGAATCCTCCTGACAGAATCAGTTCTCCAGAGATATTAAGATGCAGGAAGGTCTGATAAAGCAAGGAATACACATATCAACATTGGACCATTTCTATGAGGAGCAGGATGCAATATCAAGTCCTGTATTTTTTACTCTGTTGTGAATTTAGGGTAGGATTTTTAAAACAGTTTAGGGTTTATATATATATATATATATATATATCTCTAAAAATTGAAGGGAATTGAATTGCTTATGCTCTTTTAAAAGTCTCAGCCTTAAATCTTTCTCAATAGTCACTCATGATGATTGATAATACTTTCTGTGAATAGACTTTCATGTTGACCGTTATCATTTATTCATGATGTATCTTTTCCCCAAGGGCTTTCTTATATATCATTCAAAATATTTCACCTAGTACAGGAAAAAGTTCATAGACTAAGCTCCAAAATAGGAGACTAATAGGCAATTTAAGGGTAGGATTCTGCTTTGAGACTTACTCAGAATTTCAAAATCTCTAAACTATCACCACTGTGGTATCCCAGGAGAATTTATTAGCTACCAAGCTACAGCACAGAGTAGATCAGGCCATATTCTATCTCATCCTCTTGAATCTGGATGTGTAAGTAGGGCAGCAGTGGAGAAAAACACAGAAGATAACAGACAAAAAAGATCTACACTCTGCTGGTTCAGTCGAGACAGTGAATGAAGGTCTGTCTCAGTTCCCAGGTCTTTGCCTGCTATCTACGTTAGGTAGACACTGGATTAATAAACAGTGCAAGATCAAACTGGAGACCTTACCCAAGGTCTCAGGGTTATGGCCAGGCAGTGTTAATGACTAAACACAGAGACATTCATCCTCTTCCTTACTCACCCACAGATCCCAGGCTTTTGTGCCAGAACAAGGCGCTCTCTGCAGTCCCCCAAATCCCTGGCCCCCAGATATTCTTGTCTTTGCATTAATCACCTAGAACTCTTCTGTACCATGATTACTAGGACAGTATCCTTTGTAGGAGAAGCTGATCACGGCCAGGATCCCCTCAGGCTTAGCAGACAACCAAAAGTTTATGTGGAATTAAATTTGTGGATTAAGGCTCGTGAATTTAGTTGTTTGTGTAGCTGCAGGCCACTCTCCAAGGCCCTGTTATAAATAATAGTAATTTACTCAGTGCAATTTATGGAGTACAGATTGCTTCTGCTGACCAAAAAAAAAAAAAAAAAGTTATCCCTTCAGTTAGCTAATTACCTATTTTTGTTTATCTCTTACAGAATGAGCTGAGCAAGAACTGACCGGAGACACTAGCTCCCATGTAGGCACCTAAAAGTAGATGTCTTGGTAGGGACCCTAATTCCCAGACCAGATGACTTGTCTTCCTGGGTTAGAGATTTCATAAATCAACTGCCGTAACACTGTATGATTGTTCCGCACGCTTTTATAAAGAATGAGCTCGGCTTAAGTGGGATGGTCCACCTCTGGGAAGCGCTCAGAACTTTGTACACTCATTTATAGCCATTCATGGCAAACGAAGAAGGAATTAGGTCACATATCCCTGTTTAAGTTCCTCACAGTGAGTGACTTTCTGTAGCATGGGGACTCCCAGGATCACTCACCAGGACTCTTTAACAGCTTTCCTTGACTGCCAGGAAACTTTGGGTTCCTCATTTTAAACACTGAATCATTCCAAAGGGGCAAAGCTTTCAGGCGCTGCCATTCTTGAGTTGGAGTCGTTTACCCACGCCTTCTTGTTCACGACTGGGCATAGTAATAATTTTAAGGATATAAATTAATTTATTTCTGCATTTTTTTGTTATGACATGTTAACTGCTGCTTATGTATTAGATTAGAGAGCCAAAATACTTTAGTGTCATGATTACAGTGATTCATTTTCAGAGGTATTAATTATTCTATGCAAACTGGACTGGGGACATCCACTTGGTTTTCTATTGTTAACACAACTAGTCATTTCCATTCCATTTTTTGATGTTGACTTTCACTTCTCAGCTTTTTCCCTTTGGCATGATTGATCATTACAGAGTCAAGGACTCCAAGGACTCAAACATAAATAAGGCTTTTCTTGGATTAAATTTAAAAAAAAAAAAAAAAAGGATTAAATTAAAAAAAAAAAAAAAAAAAAAAGTGGATTTTTTTTTTTCCCTCTGTTCACCGAGCCCCAACATAATAATATATAGTAAGAAAAAGAATAAATATTATTTCCAATAAACATACTTTGCAATAATATATGCATATTATATGCACAAGAAAAAGGACTAAGATATAACTAAATCTTTGTTTATTTTTTAGTTCAAGTCCTATTCCAGATTTCCCACATTAAATGTATCTTTACAGTGATCAGAACCAAAATCCAAGTTCACCTCAGTTTTGTGGATGTTCAGAGGTAGATGGAGATAGACCCAAAAGTTTTACAGATTCTTCAGTGGTTTTATTTTTATATTTTGCCTGGTTCTCTTATAAAATAAGCAATGATGTATCTGTGCAGCTGGCACAATCACATCTTCTTTAATTGTTTCTTGTGTAGAAGTGGCTTTTAAAAAAATTTATTCAAGAATAGCACTACATGCCATTTGCTACTCAACAAGAGGAAAATATGAAACATTCCCAAGTCAGTAAATGTGAAAGGGAAGAGGCAGAAGGAAATCACACCTCCTGAAAAGAAAATCAATTCTGAGAATTAAAGTGAAGATTTGTCATGCTTATAGCACTTTGCAGCTTGACATCAGTCTCTAATACTCTCTTGTGTATTATGACTAAGACTTAACTGAAAAGTGTGGTAAGAAAACTTTTGAAACAAAATCACCGTTCTTCTTGAGAGAAATATACTTAAGCACAAGCATGAAGTCTGGATAGAAACAAAATAAAACTTTTCTAAAAGTTTGAAGAAGGCAACATAACTTTTTCTTTTTCTTTTCCATTATAACTGAATGCAGAAAAACCCTGATACTAATCCTTACACGATTTTATGTCTACTTATTGTTGAAGAAAGTTAGCAAGAAAGTCTTTCAATGATTATGTTGCTCCTAAATAGTTGTCACATTTGTCTTTTATCAGTTATCAGGCATCTGACATGATTTTTGAATGATGATAGCGTGACCTCACAATGACATAGAGCAGCTCCTTCAGCATGCCTGGATGCATCCCACCCTGTTATATCAAACTGCGTAAAGAGCTGGGAGGGATAAGGAGTGTTAGTTCTTTCCATGTTCCTCATCATTGCTCTACTCACTCATTTCAGCACCAGCTGGATATTTTCCCAGTTTTTTATTTATTTGTCCATGTGAATATAGAAAACTCATTGCCTCTTACGTCTCACAAAAGTTCCAATTCTAGCAACATTTTGGCTTTCGTAACACAATTCATTCATGCCCAAGACATACTTCCATACTGACCCTTGGGATATTGTCCCTGTTTCCACATTTCATCCTTCTGTATCTGCTTGCTATTTCTATTCACTTTTAGGAGAACAATTCAGCAAAGAAGAAAATACTTCTGTTTTCTCTCTGTTGTCTTGGTTTATCATCTTTACCCCACTTTTCATAATAAACAAGAGAAAGCTTTTCATAAATTTCCAATTAGTTTTAAAATTCATATTATTTTCATAGAAATATAAATAGAATTTGTTTTTTTTTTTTTTTTCATTAGAGATTAGGATCCTTTTCAAATAAGATCAGTATCTTAATGTCTCCAGAAGAGTAAATAAAAACACTGAGCAATAAAGTTAGACAGACTATATTTACATACCTAGATACTTACGAAGGTTTAGTTTATGGTTGTTATGAAACATAACATTCTGGATTTGACATTCAGGTCAGGACAACCCTACCTTGCTGACTGAAAGAATCTAGGAAGTTGTATCACAAAGTTCACTGAAACCAAGACTGGTTCTTTACAGTTTCTTAAGTATTTTGTGCTGCAAAATGTTGGAGAAGAAGCACTGGGCTAGAAAAGCTTTTATCCAACTCAGAATAGAAATTGTTAAGAAGCAGCCTCCTCCACATTACTAATTTGCACCAGCAGAATGCAGAACTGAAGCCAGTTTTCCTGGATCCCTGTGTTACGCATTGCTAACAGATAGCCTTGTCAACCCTGAAAGGATAAGAGAAA